GCAATTTCTTCAAAAATTATATGTATTATTGAATGAAGGTTTTAAGGAATATGTCATTTAAATTAACTAATAAAAACATTTTAATTTAAACTATATGTCATGGTGAAAATCTCTATATGTTTTTCTTAATTTTATAACATAAACCCATTAATATAAATTTTACAGAATTAAGTTTAACTAAATGTAATTTTAAACTTACTATATCATCTATATTTTTTTTAAATGATATATTAAAAAGCTTTTTATTATTATATTTCTAACAATATTATTTATTTGTANATGATAACTACANTTATANATATTTTTACATTNTATTATTAGAAAANATATATTTTTTATTTGTTACGTCCGACAAATTTATATAAATCTAAAATTTATTTGATTTATCATATACTCTACAATTTTACACAAATAATAAAAGAGAAATATCAAAAATAACATTAAAATATGTTTAGTAAATATTTAATTTTATTACATTTATACACAATACATATTATTTTGTACGTTTAGAAATATTATAATACACGTCTAAATATTAAGATTAATTAGAAAATATATTTATATATTTAATCTCACGTTTGGCGTGAATCAAAATCTAGTGTTTAGCATTTAAGCCTAACATCGCATGTGTAGATTTGGAGATATAGAATGAATATACGTGTTTAAGAAGTATTAAATAGTTTCTATTTCTGTGTAAAGGAAAATCTTCATAGCCTCTCTATAATTACCATTTCTTTGGATATACAAAAGCTAATAAGTAAGACGTATATTCTCTAGTATCTAAGTTTTCCTTATCGAAGTTAATTCGTAGTATAAATCCTCTTCTTCTCGGTTCATTTTACTTTTTTTTTGGGTCTAAACTCGGTTCATTTTACTTCTCCTTCGGATTCAATACAGAAAACAAGAATTCATACCTAGAAAAAGAGAAGTTACAATATTTCAAAAGGGAGCTCGATGAACGTTTTTGGGGCCACGGCGATTATAGGCTGCCTTAGTTGTGCAGCAGTCTTATTAGTTATCATAATTTATTTACTGTATAAATATTATAAAAGCGACGATGATTCGTAATCACTATTATTATAAGTTATATTCAGCGATATGTTTCTTTTGTGTTTTTTTTTCTTAGTGGTATTTTATCAATTTAGTGGTGTTATTTTTAAGTAGTTGATAATCCATTTGAAGAATAATATAGTCTTGGAAGGGCCTTATTCTACTTTTGTCGTTTGCCTGAAACGATGAGTTATTTCACCTCAAAACAAGACAACTCCACGAAAAATCTATGAGATGTTTTTTTTTTTTTTCTTAAACCCTAAAAACTAAATTTTCAGAACTAAACCCTAATACAACATAGTTAACCCAACAC